TGATGGCCACCACCACCATCCAAGGACAATAGGGACGGGACGGCCATGATAGCCACCACCACCATCCAAGGACAATAGGGACAGGACAGCCGTGATGGCCACCACCACTATCCAAGGACAATGGGGATGGGACGGCCATGATAGCCACCACCACCATCCAAGGACAATGGGGACAGCCGTGATGGCCACCACCACCATCCAAGGACAATGGGGACAGGACAGCCGTGATGGCCACTGCCACCACACAGGGATAACAGGAGAGATGTGATGGCCACCACCATCACCCAGGGATGATGGGGACATCTGTGATGGCCACTGCCACCCCTTGGGGACATCGAGGACACCCACCCTGGTCTGGGTGAGTTTGTTCTTCTTGCTGAGGACGAAGACCCCCTTGTCCACGGCCACCAGCCCCACGTGGGCCTTGTGGTCGCCCTCGATGCGCAGCCTCATCGGCGTCCCCGGCTCGTGGACGCGGTTGTCACCTTCTGTCGCCCCCTTCACCACCAGCTGCCACAGACACGGAGGTGACGTCCCCAGGATGTCCCCAAAAGCCACTTCTGTCCCCTCACCCCGACCATGGGGGACATCAAGTTTGGATCTCCAGGGGTGGTTGGTGGCCACGGGCTTCATGTCTTGGCCATCGCTGGGTCACCTGGCCCACCTGGGTCACTCAGGAGATGTCCAAGCTCCTCATGGAGTGTCCAAAACCACCCGAGTGACACCAAGGGGTCACCAGGTCCCTCAATGTCCCCTCACGCCCTTCCAAAAATCCCCAAGGATCTCAAGGTCCCCCAAACCCTTCCAAAGGTCCCCCAGATCCCTCCAGGGCCCCTCAAGGACCCCACAAATCCTTCAAGGACCCCCAGGTTCCTCAGTGTTCCCCCAAGCCCTTCCAGAAGCCCCTCAAGGGTCCCTCAAGAGTCCCCCAAACAATTTCAAAGGTTCCCCAAGCCCTTCAGGTGCCCCCCTAGGTCCCTCAAGAACCTCCCAAACCCCTCAAGGACCTCCCAAATCCCTCAAGGATCTCCCAGGTCTATCAAGGCCACCCAAGGTCCCTCAAAGGTCCCCCAAACCCTTCAAGGACCTCTCAGTTCCCTCAAGGACCTCCCAGGTC